TTTAGGAAGTTACTAACTGCCATAAAGCATGATGGCTGTTGCTGGTATTGCTCTGGCTGCATAGTCAAGGTGAATGAAGCGATTGCAAGCCATAAGGGAACGAGTTCTCTAGAGACGAAAATAGATGAAGCTGGAGCCCTGCTGGTTGACAAACTGGAGCAAGTTGGGAAAGAGATCCTTGCCAAGACTGAGGAAGTAGCTGATAGAATGGAGGTGGTTGCTAAGAGGAGTTATGCTGACGTATTAGGAGGGCCACGGGAGGGGGCGGAGAGTAATGCAGGATCAGAACAGGTTCTACAACAGCTTGGGACTCTGAAGAAGTGTGTCGAAGAAATGAAAATTAACGGACCTACTGTTAGGGGAGAGGAGGAACACCAGGAACGTCTCCAGCGCAGGAACAATGTAATAGTTTTTGGAGTCCCAGAGAGCCAGGCGGAGGGAACTGTGAGTAAGGAAACACACGATAAGGTGCTGTTTCAAAATATTTGTACAGAGGTTCTGAAGATTCCATCAACCCCTCAGGATGTGAGGAGGCTGGGACAAAAGCAGGGGGCTAAGCCTCGCCCCCTCAGGATCACACTAGTGAGTGAGGAGGAGAAATGACAGGTTATTCGGCAGGCAAAAAACTTAGCAAGGAGCGAGGCATTTCGGGATGTATTCATTCACCCAGATCGCACGGTAATGCAGAGGGAACAGCACAAGAAGCTCCTGCAGGACTTGAAGCAGAAGAGGGAGGAGTCGAGGAGGAACGGGGACAGGTGTACATGGGTTATACTCAGGGGGAGGGTAGTGGAAACAAGTGTGCCGACACAGGGCCAGGGGGCAGCAGTGCACCCTCCACCCACTCAACCCCCCACCCGGGAGGCGGCACCAGCTCAGCCTACCGGACAGGAGGGAACGAGCGCCGTGTAAACAATGACATTTCTAACCACACCCTGCAAAATACAGTGTACTTAGCAAATGCTGCAGCTTCTGAGAATGTGGGTGGAGCGGGTTTATTACTAAGAGCAGAGACGTTACCGAGAACAAATTCTGGCTTGAATGTCATGTACACTAATACTGACACGTTCCTTGATAAGAGAGAGGAGTTTGAAACACTACTAAGAGTACACCAACCAGATATTGTAGGTGTTGTAGAACTGTTGTACAAGAACAGGAGAATCGACCCAGAGGAATGTGAGTTCAGTATTGCTGGATATGACTCATTTACGAACCTTTCTCAAGAAACTTGCAGGAGGGGTGTGGTTATCTACGCTAGGCAAGACCTTAGAGCCAGCCAGGCGAGGGTACAGGGAGAGGATGTTTTTGAAGAGTCCAAGTGGTGTAAAATTAAATTAAAGGGAGGGGACTTACTTATCGTCGGGTGTATCTACAGATCCCCAAACTGTGGCCCACTAAATCAAAGGAACTTAAGAGCCTTAATAGACAACGCGGCGATGCTCAACCCTAGCCACCTCCTTATCATGGGGGACTTTAACTATGGCGACATCGACTGGAGAAACGAGTCCACCCCGAATGACTTGAATAACCCTGCTACTCTTTTTGTAGAAACTCTGAGAGATAATTTTCTGTTCCAACATGTTAGAGACCCGACACATTACAGAGGGGAGCAAACACCCAAGCCACTTGACCTCATCATAACAAACGAGGAGGGTATGGTGGCCAAACTGGAATACCTTGACCCAGTTGGCACCAGTCACCATATAGTGTTGTCATTCAGATTTAACTGTTACCTAGTTCAGGATAAGGCCAGGCCAAGGTGCAAATATTACAAGGGAAATTACAATGGGATGAGGGAAGAGATGAGGGGTATCAACTGGCCTGACTTATTAAGGTACAAGAACGCAGACACTACGCTGAATATCATAACTAGTAAAGTGACCCATTTGATCGATAAATATATACCCAAGACCAAACCAAGTGCTTCTAGGAATACGAGGGGATCCCTACACATGAACCATGCGGCGGTCGACAAAATTAAGAAGAAAACCCAGAAGTTCAAGACGTGGGTTGGGTCAAATGCTGAGCAAGACAGGAGGATGTATGCAAGAGCCAGAAACCAAGCAAAGATAAAGTGTAGGAGGGCTCAAGTGGAGTTCCAGAGGTTGGTTGCAAGCGAGGTCAAGTCAAACCCAAAGGCGTAGGCGAGTAGGAGTATCAGACCTGAGGTTGGTGGATGGTAGTTACGCAGATTCTGACCAGGATAAAGCTGAGGCATTGAACTGCTTCTTTTCCTTGGTGTTCACAAGAGAGGATGCAACTAACCTTCCTGCGTTTGAGGACAGACGGTTCGACACAGCACTGACCCACATTGTGTTCACAGAAATAAACTGTCCAGGCTAAAGGTCCATAAGAGTCCCGGACCTGACATGGTGCATTCTAGAGTGCTAAGAGAGTTGTGCAACGAGCTTGCAGAGCCCCTGAAGATCCTGTTTTGTAAATGCCTGGATGAACAAATGGTCCCCAGTGAATGGAAAGTGGCTTATGTGAGTCCTATCTTCAAGAAGGGCGATCGTCACTCCACGAACAACTATAGACCGGTGAGCCTGACCAGCATAATATGTAAAGTGCTTGAGAGTATTATCAGAGATGCCGCAATGGAACATATAATACGAAACAACCTTGTAAAAGATTGCCAACACGGTTTTATGCCGGAGCGCTCCTGCTTAACACAATTGCTCAAGGTATTGGATATTTGGACCCATATTCTGGAACGGGGTGGTAATATCGACAATATTTACCTAGATTTTGCCAAGGCTTTCCACAGTGTACCCCACGAAAGGATGAAAATCAAACTGGAAGGGTACGGAATTCGGGGAAATGTCCTAGCATGGATAGAAGACTTTCTACATGACCGCAAGCAGTGTGTGGTGATTAATGGCACGAAATCGTCATCTGTACCTGTCACAAGTGGGGTACCACAGGGCAATGTATTGGGCCCGCTGTTGTTTGTTTGTTTCATAAATGACATGCCTGACGTTGTACACTCCTCCATACAAATGTTTGCCGATGACGCCAAGTTATTTCGGGAAATTAAGAACCAAGCGGACTGTGAAGAACTGCAGAAGGACCTTTGTGGGCTCCAGGAATGGTCGAAGAAATGGCTGCTGAGATTCAATGTCACGAAGTGTAAGAGGATGCACCTGGGGCGTACCAACGGTAAGGAGGCGTATCATATGTCCCAACGGGATGAAGAAACTGCACTATAGTTGAGACTGTGTGTGAGAAGGACCTAGGTGTGTATGTTGACAATGAGCTGAAGTTCTCGGGCCATTGCGAGAAGAAGGTAAATCAGGCAAATAAATTATTGGGTCTTATAAGAAGGTCGTTCAGATATCTAGACGGTCCGTCCCTCGTAACGATCTTCAGGAGTGAAGTGCTTCCCCATCTGGAGTACTGTTACCATCTGGTCCCCGAGATATGCTAGGGACTGTCAGTTGGTTGAAAATGTTCAAAGGAGGGCCACCAGATTGGTGCCTGCACTTCGGCACCTCAGCTACCCTGAGAGATTGGAGTGCCTGAACTTGCCTAGCTTATACTTCAGACGGGCAAGGGGGGACCTAGTTGAGGTGTAAAGCATCTCAGGGGGCACTACTCAGTTGAGTGTCCTTACTTGGAGCTGGCGGACGCTCGCCCCACAAGGGGTCACAGCTCAAGATTGAAGAAGCCGCAAGTCCAGAAAACCGTGAGGGCAAACTTTTTCGGAGTGAGGGTTGTAAACTCTTGGAACAATCTACCAGAAAGTGTTGTGACGGCACCGAGTGTGAGCTCTTTCAAGACAAGACTTGACCAACACTGGAGCGGGTTCAGGTACATTCAGGAGCCGGTGCATGCCCAGTATTTGCCAACAGTGCGTGACAGAGACGTGACCGATCGCTCGGGCGGCTAGCGAGCCGGTCTTTTGGTGAAGAAGATAAATGAAAAGGAAAAGTAATACGAGACGTGACCGATCACCCAAGCAGCTAACAAGCCTATCGGTGGCGAAGAGGATAAAAGTAAAAATCCATGCTATTTACTTGACGTAATCAATCACTTGAATAAAAAGACGAAAGAAAAACTCAAACTTTGATGTATCCATTTTAAAGTGAACAGGAAAGCATGTCGGCAAAGACTATAATTATGTCTGATGTGTTGATGTGTGTTCGTAATGTACGGTCATTTCGCCACAGCTCAGCCGCGGGAGATGGCGAAGGACTGTCCTCTTTTAGACCTGATTGTCCTTTACTTTTTAAATAAAAAGGACAGCAGTAAACTGTCCTTATCTGAATTTTAAGTCTAAACTTGTACTGTAGTGGATTCCTCCCCTACAAGCACCGAACCTTCTCGAATTCCCCAGCCTACGCCTCCAGCGCCGCCCACGGAGCGAGGGTCAACTATCTACCCACGCATACCCCCGCCTTATAAGACCTGACACCGCTGTGACCAGCCTCTTTTCTACCCAGTGCCACCAGCAAGCAACACCTCGTCCGCGCCAGCCTGGCGGCTCCCGCTCCTGCCGGCAACCTAGGCGTCCCTCAAGCCGTGTGCCCTCACTCTGGCCACCCTCACCACCCAGCTCTCTCTACTCAATGCTTATTACCATGCTACCTACCCAGCAACAAGCTGCATTGTACATCCAATACAATATGTATACAGTGAGCACATTGTGAGTTTCCTTTCTCCATCCCATCCTGAGTGTGAACCAATATCTCATAACCCCACAGTACTACAAAAAGGCACGTTACTATTTTATTATTCTCTCTCTCTCTATATATATATATATATATATATATATATATATATACATATATATATATATATATATATATATATATATATATATATATATATATATATATATATATATATATATATATATATATATATATATATATATATATATATATATATATATATATATATATATATAGAACATATATCATTTGTCCTTTTTTAGGGTATATGTCCTTTTTTTGTTGCAAGTTTGTCCTTTTTCTCATTAGAGCGTCTGGCAACCCTGCCGCGCAGTCTTCATCAAAACACCACTGAGTGTGGCTTGAATTCGCCAAAATGACGACGAGAAGACCCCTAAACAAGCCAATCAAGCTAGAGCAATATGACTTATCTGATGAACCTGAGATCCAGGAAAATGAGAAAGAAGAGGAGATTGTAGAAGAGACCAAGTTTAAGAGCAAAAGAAGAAAACAAGAAAATGCGTCACCATATCATCCCCGCAGATTCGTTACTAGATGGCTAACAATACCAGAAATTAGAGGATGGATACACCCATTACGTTCTGATCCCGCTCATGTGTGGTGCAAATTTTGTAGAAAGAAAATTCGGGCACATTTAAGTGATATGAAAGTTCATACTAAAACAAGAAAGCACCAGAAGAACATGAAACTTGTCCTTCCTGAACTTCCTACAGAGGCTGGCATGGAGATAGACCACAAAGAAGTTGTTATCAGTTTCCCTTCATCAAAGCTTTACCACGAAGACCTTATAGGTAAGAAATTAATACACTTTATCAATAGTCCGAGGGAACTTGCATGTCATCCACAAATAATGGTTGAAATAAGAAGTTTCAGCAAATGTAAACATAATGTGTAGTATGTTGTCAGTGTTGCCAACGCAAGTGAAGGTGTGTTCATTTTTAAAAATAATTTCACCACTTATCAGCTTAATTGCCGTTAGACAGTTGGTGTAATTTTTTTTATAATACGTGTAGTAATCTTTGTCCACTTTATTCTCTTTAATCAGTTTGCCACTGATCGGTCTGCTAGCGCTTAAAAGTAAAAAAAAAAACGCTTGGGCGGTCGGCCACGTCTCTTATGCACTGCAGCACTGGTGGCAAGTACTGTGCTGTGCATGTACAGACTGGCTCCAGAATGTATCTGTAGTATTCTGCATCTGCACCAGTGTTTACTTTATCCTCATCGCCAATGGCGACTAATTTGCTTGTTAACCGCTTGGTAAAGTCTGGTCTTGAATGAGCTCACACTCGGGGCCTGGCAGTTTTCTGGACTTAAACTTTATAAAAAAAAAACTAATGGCTCCTCTGGCACTCCTGCCTACACATAGGTTGATATTGATAGCAATTATCATGTAATCGAAATATGACTAAAGTCAGTCGTAATTATTTGCAGTAAAGAGTGGATCATTGGCGAAGAGAGTAAAAGTAAAGAAATAGGATTACCCAAGTCCGTGTTGAAACCATGGAAACCTTCAGGATTGTGAATTGGCATCAGTGATTCAGTGGCAGGGCTAGTGGTGTCTGACGTGATTACCAAACACATTATCTTCTTGGTTTTCCTTACTGTAAATCAGGGTTTATCACACTACCATTGAAAATGGGGAAATGGAAAACCTGCTATAATGAAAGCAGAAAATACAAGAAAGAGTGGGAAGAACAGTTTAAGTGGTTAACATTCAGAGGTGATAAATGTTATTGCAAAGTGTGTAATGCCACTATAAAAACAATGAAAACAAGCAATTTAGATTTGCATGAAAAAACTGCTAAACACATGAAAAATTCTGATACAAAACCAATACTGAAGATTCAATCTAATTTGGGAAAATCAAATAAAAGCAAAACGGAAGAATTTGAAATAAAGTACACTGTCTCTGAAGCAAATGGTGAGTGGTAAAATTTGTTTTAAATGCACTGGAATAATTTTCATTAAGTATTATAATTATTAGATAAGTTCAAATTATTCTAGTGAAATATGAAAGAATGAAAAAACTATGTATCGAGTTATGATTTGGCCTTATTTGGCCTTTTAGTTTGAGGTGTTTTGCTTCGTCATACCTTGCAACTTGGGTTGGTAACTGTGTTACTGTCTTAACATAGGTTCCTCAGTAATACACAAGTGGCGGCTGAATTTACATCATCATCTCTACTGTTGACTATAACTATGGGACTCACGAGTGACGCTGTCGAACCCAAGCAGGCTGAAGGCAAGCAAATTCCTTGATTTAACTGTATCCTTTACCGTATTGACATTTTATATCTCTTACATGGATGTTCATGCTGAAGTGTCTCACGAGATATGTAGGTTAAAGTTAAATCGGTTGCAGCATTGATCATTTTGCTTTGTGTGAGGGAGAAAAAAAGTTAAAATAAATTACGGAAATGGTAAGTACACTGTGACTTCCATTTCCAGTATTATTTCACAATTTTTGTTTTACTTGCCACAAAACGAATCCCTGGAATTTTATAGTTGCAATCAGTAATTTTGACAATTCTAAGACACCTGAAAATGATTTTTGTTATGGAAGTCAGTTTTTTCATCTGGGAAATTTATAGACTGAATATTGTAAGGTTAGGTTAGGATAACCTTGGTTAGAAACTGAAGGCGGAGCCCTCCAGTTACGCTTCCAGGTAAGAATTGGTGACAATTTCGGTTTCCTCAATATTTGTTGCCTTTCAGTGGACAAGAGTCGTTGTAACGTAAAAATATATATATTTTTTTAACTGTGATTCTCATTGCAGAAGTTGATTTTTTTTTTTAGAGTTTCCACAAAAAAAGAATACTGTATCTCCATTGCATTAAGCATCAAATATTGAGCAAATTGAGACGAAAATTTTCTGCCAAACTAACAGCAGTCAAGGTCCAAATATTTTTTTCTTTTAAGGTTTAGTTTCTTAAGGTTCCTTTTTCTTTTCTTTTTCTTGTGTTACGTTTTCAAAATTATTGGGTGTGGCATCACAATCAAATTCTTCCTATTGTGTTGGCTCAATGAAAAAACATTCACAGCATTGGTGTCATATCCTTGGTCACAATTATCATTATAGGGTGTACTGTACCTGTATTTCAGTTCATTTTTCAGAATTTTAATAATATTTTTGGTATTACAGTATTTTACTTCAGGACATAGCATGCCCGAAAGTTAAAAACTACTGAAACATTTAGATTTCGCTATTCTGAGCATTTTGAACCCCATATACCCGTACATGGCGGAAATGGATAATAGCAACACAATTGAATTCAATTGATTTTACGTAGTTTTCAGTTTTTGAGGAGATTTATTGGCTCATCACGCATGCGCAATAGACTGACGTCATCCATTTGTGACAAGTGCCAGTGATGTATCGATATCATCACGCTAATTTTTTTTTACCAATCGCATTTGATTTTTTTTTTTTTTTTTTCAAAGGAAGCAGTCTGGGTAATTTAATTGATCAGTCTCACAATGGCTGTGGTGGAGGTTGGTTGTCATTTGTGCTCCTACGATTATTTTAAGTTTATTGCCGAGTTTTACGAGAAAGACGATCAATCTATCCAATTCTTATGTATCCCTGGTCCTTCCACTTCTAACTAAAGTACAGTATTGTACTTTCAGACATAGCACACCCCAAAGTTTTTAACTACTCAAACATTTTGGTTAGTTTAAGCTAGGCCTACCGGTGGTTCGCCCCCGTCTAGGGGTTAGGTTAGATTACTCATTTTCGTTTTCTCCCCCACCCAAAAACCCCAATTTCCCAGGCTTTCCCCCATTCTTGTTGAGGGGGGAGGGCAAAAACGACCACTTTCTGCCAAAAATGAGGTCAGATTTGTTTAAAACACCAAAATACAGTACACTGGAAAAACATATTGGTCAACCCCTAGGGACTCGTGTCCTAAAGTAAAATTTACCATATTATCCTTGAAATATTTCAGTTGTGTCTGAAGATGGAACAGCAACGAGCACAACAAACCCTGCTGTGCCTGGCAAGGAAGTTTTGAACCCAGCAAATATTGGGTTTATTGGATGTGGTAACATGGCCCAGGCGCTTCTCAATGCATTTATCAGAAAAGGTAATGTGTTTGTGTAGGGTTGAAAGAGTTAGAAATATTACAGGTGTAGTTTTCAGAAAATTAAATTACTATGTACAATATGTTAATATAATAATGATGGCTTGATTTTTATTCACCAAGGTGTGTCCAAGCATGTAGAGGCAGGAGCGTACTTGCCAATAAGCCTTGTGACAAGCAATATTTGGGATAGGAAAGTGAAAATTGTTGTGCAGTAATAATACCAAATGGTAAATGTCCAATAAATAAATTAACAAAGGCTGCTAGTTTACTGATGTGCTTGTCCTTCACATTTTCATTGTTCACGGCCAGTGTTGTTTGCACAGATATAGAGTTGTTTCATATTGGAGGACAATTGTAATTTTGATAAGATGACAGTGATCATTTAATTTTGCAATGAAACAAAAATAAGCACTTACAGAAATAAGATTTATGTAATGTTATTCTTCATGCTGGTTATTTAAAAGGAAGTAACATTATGGTTTGGTCAAACCTATCATAAGTCATATGCACATTTTCTGGAGTAATTTAAGATAAACATTTTCTTACTGCAGATTTTAATGTGGCTGTTAAAATCTTTGTTAAATTTTCCGTTTTAAATTTAACTGATGGAATGAAGAGAATTTAAATCTTTAGTATCTGTTGCCAAGTTTTAAATATCATAAGTGTTGAGAGTGTGATAACATTACTTAAAAGTTAATTGGATGGTGTGACTACCGTGATTAAAAAACACCTATAGCTACTGTAGTACTCTATTTTGAGCCTGTAGAAATATAGATTGAAGCTTTTAATTCTTGTCGGTGATTCTGTACAGAGTAATATAACAAGGGATGATTGTAGTATCCTTAGTTACCTTCTGGCCGGGGTAGTGTTTTTCAAAGTGACATGGATTGGTAGATCTGTTGAACAGGTAGTAATTGTAATCTTTGTTAAATGAAAAACTTACATTTTTCAGCCAGGTTAATTCTTCTCATCAGACTTGCAGTTAGACTAACAAAATTAAGCATTATTTATTTAGATTTTCTTAGACACACACACACACACATGTTAGTACCGGTATACATATTCAGTATTTTTATTTATTTCCTCAGGGTTGATAGATCCTTCCCATGTAATGGCAAGTGCACCTTCTGACCGCAACCTAACTAAACTTCGCTCTCTAGGGGTGAAGACAACTCATGACAACAGTAAGTACTGGTTACCTTGATTAATATAAAAATACTGTACCATAAAGAAAATATTTGTATGAAAATAGCTTATACTGTACTACAATATACTGTATGTTAAAAGAAAAATGGAAAGGGTACTGATGCTTAGATTAACCTTAAAGTCTTGTGCTTTCATGATCATCATTGTTTTTGTGCGAGTATTTTAGTCATAAACTGGGCCGGCAATCCAGTGACCTCACTTTTAAAACCAGTGAGAAGACAGCCTGGTTTGATATCTAGTGTGAGTTAATACTGTAGTAGTAATAGTTTCATGGCTCCATTGTGAATGACTAGTATAACCACAATATAACTTTCATGCTGACAACCCCAACTGAGATAGGTTATTAAAAGGCTGATTTAGTTGGCTCATTTCAGAACAGAGCATCATTGTTTAACGTAACCTAGTGATACTTATCCATTTTATATTTTGCTTATTTGCAATCCTTATTGGCAAGGATAAATTTTTATACATGGGACCTTGAAGCAAGTTTGTAATTAAGTTCTGGTTTCCACAATAATAATGTAAGTTTCAAATCTGGTATTATGGAAATCGTCAATATGATCGTGACATGTAGAGTGGATTGTAAATTTAATTGATATTGAATTCAATAGTAAGAGCATAATTTAATGATTACAGTACTATATATCATATCGAGTTCAGTTACTTGTCCTGAGAACTGATGAGGCACTTCCTCAGGTCATCTTTTATGACTGAATAAAATAGATGTCTTATACCAGGACTGAGTGAACTTCTGACTCAGGATGTAGTACAGTATTGCTGATGATAATTCTAGTGGATTTAAAAAAATATGTGAAATGTTAAGTGTTTTATAAGCAAATAATTACCCAGTATAGTAGATTAAAGAAACTCATTTTATAATTGGTTTACCTTCCACAGATGAAGTTGTGAAGCATAGTGACGTGATTTTCCTGTGTGTAAAACCTCACCATCTAACAGATATGATAGGTGACTTGAATGCATTGGAAAGAAGCCACAATCCACTTTTTGTTTCCATTATTACAGGATTTGACATCAAAACCTTAGAGGAGGTGAGTTGAAGCACATTATATATTCATTATATATTCAACAACATTACTGCTCTCTTTAAAGGTCATTGGAAAGAGTATCTGAATTTAAAACTGTTCAGATTAAAAATGATAATGTACATACTAAGGATGACATTAAAGTGCTGTACATACTGTATGTTTTCATACCTCAAGGTTAATATATTCAGTTTAAGGAATGGTGATAATTAATGTATAGTAGCATAATGTGTTTGTGGTCATGAATTCTTTTTCTCTACTGCCCTTGTATAATATAAAGAACTTGAGGCAAATGTTTATAATACTGTGTACTGTATCAGGAATAGAACCTGCCTATACAGGTACAGTAGTGTAACAATTATCCAGTTCACCAAAAACATTTTAAATCTCCAAACTCTGGCCCATCACATCCAGTCCGTTTGTCAGGTAAGCTCTTGTCAAAAAAGTTATGCACAATCAAACTCCAGTGCTGAAAAAATAACAATAGGTTGTAGCCAGATGATGCATTGAGGTTTCCACTGTGCAGTCACCATCTTCATTCAGTAGTAGCCAATCGCAGCGCCCAGCACGCGTTGGTGCATGATGCAATCACTCAGAAATACAACCAACTGCCCAGGATGGAGAGATTTTTCTCAGAATGATAAAAAAAAAATAATTTTTCGGGTATTGGAAAACTCTGAGGATCAAACATTCTGACTGTCGAGGATATTACTACACATTGTTAATTATGATTTACCTTTGGTATCTAGAAAATTTTTAGTTTTCTACATGAGATTTAATTGGTAAACGTCTATACGTATTCTATTTCCAGATGCTTACTGCCTTGATAGATTACCCTCGTGTGATACGCTTAATGCCTAATACCCCATCAATGGTTGGACAAGGATGCTGTGGTAAGTTTGCTTTTCAAATGTCCAGTGATATTTTGGCATTTTAAGGTAGATGAGCTCTGTAATTAAGGCATGAAATATCATTTGATATGGAATATTATAATTTGTTGTCACCTTAAATACCAGGTACAGTACTGTAAAAAAAAAGGAAAATAATGTTCTGGAGAACATAAGAAATATTCTGGAATCAACTAAATGGATTTGAAGAAGAAAAAAATTAATTGTTTAGCGCTACAGTATTTATATATTTTGAGTCATTACTGAACTGACATTTTTTTAAAGCTGTTGATATACTGTAACTTAATTCTGAAATTTGCCATAAATAGAGTACCCTTGAGTTAGTTCATGACATGGGACCAAGTATACCTTTATTGTTACTACCACTTTCTGCTATAGACTAAACAGGTTAGCACCTGTTAAGGTGACTAATAATATTGGGTTGCTTTTGCACAGTTCAGATGTAAATTATTTTACAAATTGCGATATATATATATATATATATATATATATATATATATGGTTTAAGGGGGGGGGGGTGCTTCTAGCCCAAATCCCTTATGTCTTTTAATATCATAACTTAACTATTTTCTGGACGTTTACAATCCCAATCTCATGAAATAACACAATTCTATTGTACTTTATTTTTAAGTATCAACTTACAAGAGTGTATAATAAGGCATTGTCATTCTGTTATTCTTTTAAAGTTTTGGTGAAGTTCCCTTCATCCTGGTTACAGAGACATGGCATACATGTTTTACATTTAACTTGTGTTATTTCAAATTATATTTGTTAAAGTAGAATATGTGTTTTACAGTGTACACCCTTGGAAGCCATACACCAGAAGCATATAATGAAGTCATGAATTCCATGCTCAGTTCTATAGGATTAAGTGCAGAGATTCCTGAGTACCAGATGGATGCTGCTTGTGGTTTGGCAGGATCAGGACCAGCTTATGTAAGTACTACAGTACTTTATTACAATGTATGACTGTCATCCCCGTGTTAAAGATGTTCTAGTTATGGAATTTCACTCTTGTGGAAATTCATGTTTTACCGCTAATTGGAATACAGTAGTAATATCTCCGTTAGCCGGAATCCCTCAAACCCGGAGCTCTTCGATAGTCGGAATTGAAATTTTCTCGTTAAATCGTTTCCAAAGCCAGAATTTTCCGGAAAATTGAGGCTTTGGGAACGATTTTCCGAGGGGCACATTTTCTCGAAAATTCTGAGAAAATTTTCCCGATACCCGGAAAATTCCGGGGATGGTGGAGTTTTTTTCCAGGTTTGAGTGATGAAAATCAGGCGTATTTTCTGGAAATTACGAGAAAATTTTTCCGTTGCCCAGAAAATTCCAAGGATGGGGGATATTTTTCCGGGTTTGAGAGATGATGGACAGTAATGGGCAATTTCTGGTACTTCCAAGAAATTTTTTGTTACCCGTAAAATTCTAGGGTTGAGGGATTTTTTCTGGCGTTGAGAGTCATCTCGTTACCCGGAAATCTCTCATTCCCGGAAGTGCTCTTCAGCAATTGTTTTGGCTAACGGGGATATCACTACATGCAGATTTTAAACACAAAAAGGCTATATGGTCAAGAATTAATGGCAGTATTTTTTCATTAACAGATATATGCAGCTATAGAAGCTCTAGCAGATGGTGGGGTTAAAATGGGTCTTCCTCGGCAGTTGGCTCAGACCTTGGCTGCTCAGATGGTAGGTCCTGAAGATATTAAGTTAAACAGCAGTTTTTAGTTGTTAATTTAAGTTTTCTTGTGAGTGAGTTTTTGATCGTGATAAAGGATGTACAGTACAGTACTGTATATTCTTTAAGAAATAGCACCTAGAAATTTGATAACTGGAAAAGAGAGAAATAAAGGATACATAAGAAGAGAAGAGGAAGTTGCAAGAAAAGATGAAAAGGAGACAAAAACTAGTGTTAAATATAATGAGGTAAATTCCTCATACTTCCTCTCTGACTAGGAAGAATGTAAGCAAGGGGGAAATAAATCAGAAAAAGGGAAGGATTAGGAAAACTGAAAACATGTAGGAAATTTTTTCATGTATTTTGTTCTTTCTTACATTTCCACACAGCATGGATTTTTTTTATGTATACCTGTATATAGAAAGAAAAGAAAATATCAACAAAAAGTGATTTGTTACTGTGGCTAGAAACATTTTCTAAGATTGCACTGAATATTTAAAAAAAAAAAATAGAAATTCACTCGCACTATGTCATGCCTTAGGCACAACAAATTTAAAGAGAAGGTAGAAGTAAACATAGCTTTCTGGGTTGAAGCAAGTGAAGTGACGACCATTAAAACCATTTGTACTCACTGTCCAGCCATTGTTTATTGTTTACTTTTGTCACATTTTCATTTCTTTTTGTTCTCAGGTTAATTTGATATATAAAGTTAAAAATTAAGATTATTTTTGGGTTTATGTAAATTTTGAGTTCATGTTTTAGGACGAATTTAACCCTATTTTCATCATAGGCACGATTGTTAGCTTGTTCATTGAGGGCCGTTTTTTTTTTTTTTTTATCACACCACCAATACTAGGTTGTATAAAAGGAAGAAGGCCAGTATGGTAGAGTCGGGTCATTAGATTTAAGCAGTTTTAACTCCCTTACATAGTACAGAAGACCTCATGTCATGCCCCTAGCAATGTACTTTTTCAGTACCTGTATTGTTGTCATTGACATTATAAAAATACAATAATTAAACTTTAGATTCAAATCATATTTCAGTAATGCCTTACCTAAATTCTAATTATAGCTATTTGAAGTGTAACATTATTGTGCACAGCAGGTGAGATGCTCTTTTTACACTTTACGTTTGTAATTTATAATTCTTGTGGATTTAGTATCCAGCAAATGCTTGTAGTATTCCTAGAAGCCAGCAGAAATACTGAATAATTGTTATATTTCAGGTTAAGGGAGCAGCAACAATGGTTCTTGAAAGTGGAAAGCATCCAGGTCAGTTAAAGGATGAGGTCTGCTCTCCAGGAGGCACTACTATTGCAGCCATGCACAGCCTAGAGAAAAATGGCCTTCGGTAAGACTTATATTTTCACTACAGGACTTGTTTACAGTACAGCATTGTCATTTGTGTACAGGTATACCTAATTTATAATACCTATTTACAGTTTTATGATAGTAAGTAATTTACACCATTGTTAATTTTTACAATATTTTAAAATGCCATTTGATTTTTGGGCGTTAAAAAATATGAAATTGCCAATTCCAGTATATGTGAGTAAAATAATGTTATGTATGAAGCTTCATCAAATGAAGAAGCATAAGCACCAAAACGACATTTCTCTCTCTCTCCCCATAGAGGGCGTATCTTCAATTGTAGTGTGGGAATCTATGTATTGTTAGAGTAATATATTTATAACATTTCATACTGTTCACTGTAGCAAATGTCATCTGGCTTCTCAAGTACAAGTATATAATATATATTGTTCTGTACTTTATATACTGCATTATTTAACTTTTTATCTTTATGATTGACTTATAATAATTGTGTACACCAAAATTTTCATTCAAAACATTTATTTTGGTATTTTAAGATGTTTTAAAGAAGTACTGTTTTGTAGGAAGATTTATCTCTGCTTTTATAATGAGTATGGGAAAATATGCTTTTATTAATTAATAATACCTGGCCATTTCCACTGTAAATGCCTCGCATCCTACAATACTGTATATTATATTGGAAGGTGATGTTGATGTGTTGTGAGACACATCAGCCCCATGATTTAGGTCATTAGGCCATATAGAAGAATTAATGAGGTAAAATATATTTTTCAAACTTGTTTTCTCCTTTCCAGGAATGCTCTCATATCAGCAGTGGAAGCATCAGCACTACGCTCAAAAGAATTAGGCACCAAGAAGTGAAAAATCATGTGGATAACCAGTGAAATCCTACAGGTACTCAGAATGGATTTCTCTTGAATGGTATTCAAATGCCAAAATTTTTTATTTTTAAGTCATCTTATGTTTGTCTTTTTCAGTTAACTGTAAACAGGGTTATATTAGCTTGTACTAAGAAGTATCATCAAAAGAGATCATCATTCCTTATAATCAGTTTTTTCTACAAATACTTTCAACTGGTGAAAATATTTTTACATTGAGATGAAGTGTACTGTAGTTACTTTTTAGACAGTCTGTGGCTGATATCTGTTAGACAGTATATTTCCTTAAATGCAAGTTTGTGTATTCACAATAATGTTTAATTGAAAAGATGAAAAGGTTATCTATGTATATTTAATATAAATGTAAATATATATACAAACATTAAATGTAGTATGACTTAGACAGGCTCTGTCTTATGAAGATTTTTAATAGCAGCAGTGGAAGCTTGTAGAGCTCTTCGTGACAGTCTCATCTGACCTGATGCTGGATCACGTCCAAAATACTTTACCTTAACCTGTTGTCCAACTTCAAGACCAAGTGCACTGGGATGGTGTACCTGTTGACAAAGTTTTACTTATTACAGGTACTGTATATGTAAAAAAAAATTATGTTCAACTACTTAAGTACATACATCCCTTCCCTCCCTATCTCACTTTTTACATTCCTACCCTTGATGTAATGACTGATTGGGGGAAGGCCATTCTGTCAAGCCCAAAGTGGGTCACTTTTCACCACCAAAAGTCCCTACCATTCACCATTACCACCAAAAACACTTGCCACCACTAACATCAAAACTTTCTAGCCTCCTTTCTCTCACAGTCATTATACACTATTTTCTCCTACCTATTACAGTTCCTCAATCTCTCTTCCCTTTTCACTTTGTGTCTCTTCTAAATCACACTTTCCTGAATACTTGTGTACAGTAAACAATAATTATATAAAGCAAAATTCTGTATATTTAAAATCATGTAAAATAATTCACACTCGACTATAATATACAGTACGTGTATCCCAAAATGTACAGCATCTTACTTTTCTTGTGTCTAACTGTGAATTGTGCAGTAAGACAGGTGGCATGTTGTCATATAGTGTCACCATAACTCCTTGAGGTCGAAGTTCAACAATAGTAGAAGTGTAAATCCCACCGAACTCCAAGGTAGGTTCTTGATCACTAAGTAATTCAGCAAGGGCCTCCTTTGCTTCCTCCATTGCCGAGTGATTTGGTGCAAAGACTGACAGTAAACCATCGTCTTGCCAAGTCAACTGAAGAGAGAAAATCTAAAATGGTCACCTATAAAGGCATAAGAACAAACCAAAGTAGTGTTACAATTATCATATATAGTGTATATTTAATTAATTACAGTCTTAAATTGAAGCATTATTTTGAATGGGAAGAATGAAAATGTTCAAAATCAGATAATTTTAAACCAGTTGTCCACCGCAATTTATAGGTTCTACCACTAAATAACAACACTTGTAAAAAAAATAATATTTAACCTGAACTCCAGTCTCAGACTGAATTCGTCGAATATGCATGCCACCAGGACCCACTACTCTGCTTCTTTTATGTGCTGGTACAGTAATCTTCTCAAGGGCAGGCATGGTTTCCTTCTTCTGTTCACGGGGACGTGCCAGTGTGTCCCCCATAATGGTTAAAATGGTTCCTTTTCCATCTGTGGCTTGCTGTATTGCCTCCATCACCACTTTCAGAGGAATCCCTTTGACTTTCACATCTGCTTGAAGGGCTGTTATGCCCTTAGAGGTTCCAGCCACTTTGAAGTCCATATCTCCCATGTAGTCTTCTATACCCTATTATGGACAAAAGCTTTAAATGAAGACATGAAATTTAAGAGTATGTACCCTTTAAATATTAAAGAAGGGGCAGATCAATACAAGAAGAGATGAATATTGGTGATGGCCGAACTGAGGATAATACATAATTTTGCATTATGAGTTCCTGACAATAATTTTTGCAACCCCAATTTTGATTACCCATGTTTTGTTTTTGCTAAGCATCTTTGTGGGGCCTTCGGACAACTGTTCTGAGGCAGTGTATGTCCTTGGCCATGTGCCTATCAGTAATGGTTGGACAATGGTTAAGTCAATTCAAGACTGTTTATGCCTGGCACCACACGCAAGAGGATACTTCATGCTATTATTATAGGTATACCTGTATTTGATTCGGGGGGATGAGGATGACCTTCATCATACATAGTCATAGTGATACAAGTGAATATGGTGACTTTCCTCAAGAGTTAACAAGAGAATCTGAGGAAAATAAGGGTGAGGAATCTACTAGCAGTGCAGCTCAATAATTTCTTGACTGGACCTGACCACCTTGTTTATTTAATAATGGCAATATGCATGTGAGGAAAAACTTCTTCAAGATTTGGTTTAACTTTTGTAATGAAAACTTACCAAGATATCAGTCAAAATTTTGTAATCCTGGAGTTTATTATTCTCATTATAGCGTGTGACTAAACCAATCGCTATCCCAGCTGCTGGTGAAGATATGTTAACACCAGCATCCATCAAGGCCAAGCTACCACCACATACAGTTGCCATGGAAGAGGACCCTGGAGAATACAGGTATAAAGGCATGGAATAAAAAAAATGGAATCACAAGATATTGTAAGTAAGCTTATTGTATCTACTAAACATAACCCCCTTAGATTACCACAGTCTCTGCATAAACTTCCCCTTTAAATATTTCAGGGTATTCAGTTGCCACATGAGCCCAAAATAAAGTACACTGGAGTCTACACATGCACACACACTGGTAGTACAAGTTTCACGCATCCAACTCGGCCAGTTGCATAATTTTTCAAGGAAAACGTAAAGGAGTGGCAAAAATAGGGTCTTCACATAATGGATCTTGCTTAAATCCTTGGCCTTCTGCACAGCTGTTGCTCTTGGAATTTCTGTGTAGACCATTACTACATGCTAGACTTGCTGTATCATCACAATCCACCGTATTAAATGTAATCTTGTGGGTGCTCTCTCCGATTTTAAAATATTTACATTCTCTGACTGGCCAATCCTCAATATGTCTGAAACTGTTAGAATTCACTATAGTATCCTGATCAAAATGTGAGATTTCATGCTAAAAACCAATTACAGTTTATTTATAATTAAACTTATAATTAAACTTGCCATTGGATTCCATTACTGTGGATGTGAGAAGTATTGCAAAAGGAAAGTTAGAAGGCAAAAGAGGTCTGAGAGCCTTCTCTGCTAGGGCTCCATGACCCACTTCGCGTCGAGAGACTGGACCACCTCTTGCAACTTCATTTGTAGCAAAAGATGGGAATGTGTAGTGTAGAATGAAGTTTTGATCTTTGTGGCCCCTAAAATGAAATGCCTTTATTGCTAGTGTTACTAAAATTATATTTAAAGATAAAATTACATGACATTAATATTAACTGATGTCTGGGTGCTTGAGCACATGCTTAGGAAACTGATTTTGAATTTCATATTACAATATTATACTGTATAAAAATATCACTAGGAGAAAACTAAAATCCTTTACTAGTTTATCAGAAGTTATAAAAAATACAGACCATGAAATATTCAAAGAAAGACAGATGTGACTTACCCAGTAGCCTCTAACAAATAATCTAACTTAGGCATATTTTCGAGGGCATCAAAGGCAACGGTACACTGCACTTGTGTTTGACCCCGTTGGAAAAGTGATGATCCATGCAATGGACGGTAAAGATCAATACCACAGGTAATGGGTCTCAATTCTGAAAGACCTCTACCATCACATCTAGAAATCCAATGATGAAATTAATTTAAAATCTTAAGTACCAACAATCATAACAAAACATATTATTTATGTTGTCTTTGACTGTAGAAACAAATGTCAAACAGAAAACAAATTAATTTCTAATTCATTTTATACCGTATAGAACAAATTTATCAATCAATAATTTTTTCTTTAAATTAGAAATGTGTTTAAAATAATACAATAAAATTAGCTACACAAAGTCACATACAAATCTATGCAGAAAATCAATCTAATTCTTACCTGATCTCTTCATCTAATATAAGATTTCTAAAAACAGTTTTTGCAGTTTGGGAGAAAGCTAAATTTGCTAAATGTGAGTCAGTCTCTGGGAACCCTTGCATCAGCTTTTGTGTCACGTCTAATCTCAAGAGGTTGACAGCATTGTCCCTCGAAAGTTTGTGGTGGGAGAAGTCTGCGAAAATACTTCGTAGACGTATCTCACTCAGACTTCTGCAAAGGAATTTAAAGCATTAGCAAATATGCTGATGGTACATACGAGAAGGAATAAACAATATATTGTACATACAAGTATATTAATCCCTGTTTGTTAACTAAAATATTCCAGCCCTTTATTATCTACAAAAACTGTGGCATTTGGAAGCAGGAATTTACTTTTGATTTAGGACACAATATAATTATACTATACCGGTAAATGAGGGAATAATCATGAAATCCAAGATTTTCAGATTTGCCCATTAAGGATGAGTAGCAAAATGATCCACAATTACCAATTCTGCAGGTCTACATGTTCACTTCGCCATGATTGACCTTAGAAATCTTAATAAAAGAGTAGCTTGTCTCTGCTGGGTATCTCATTTATAAAAAGAAAAAATTTCTAGAGAAATGCAGGCTTCCCCTGGCAAATTATTATTTGTTATGCCTAATAACTAAAAATAGATGTCGCAACTTTCTATAATCAATAATACTCGAAATAAATCCACTTGTACTGTATCTTACTCAGTTTTTCAAACCAATTAAATTAGATCTGCAGCATGCATGCTTACCTAACAGCCTGTAAAATCTCCTCTGGTACGTGGAGTGTGTTAGTAAAGGTCCTTTTTGGTTTACCAGCTTCTTTGACTAATTGCTGAATGGCTTTGATAACTTGTTGACATTCCTTCACACCTGCCTTGATAGCCTTCATAAGATCTTGTTGAAGGACATTGTTGCCCGAACCTTCCAGCATCACTTAAAAGAAATATAGGGATTATTATAAACTTGATGTAGTACCTTATGTGCCTAATATTACAATGGTGTCAACAAATTCAACTTTTATGTTCTTGAGGACAATTATCAGAAATAATGAGAGCACTTCTTGCTTCGACATAAGCTGTGAGATACTCAATGTGGTAAAGAGAGAGGTGGGTGGAAACCCTTGCAATATATGAGGACTACCTATACATAATTATAAAAAATACAGATTTTTTTAATTAAATGTGAATGGTGCTTAAGTCTTGGGTGTTATTTTAGTGTGTTTCAGCTCCTGCAATCTGCTACTTTTTTCCTATTCTGGGGTATTTTCAAATACCAGAATCCATTCCACTGATATCATGATGGTTATTTTCTATATATTTTCGTCCCCCAGGCCCCTATGTGGGTCAGTGACCTGTGCCTGGGTGCTCTAATCCCCCCAAAATAAAATAAATAATATATATATATATATATATATATATATATATATATATATATATATATATATATATATATATATATATATATATATATATATATATATATATATATATATATATATATCAAACTTACCAACTAGCTTACTTTCTGCTCCAGTTATTACTAGATTGAGGGAACTCTTGGATAGTTCTCGTCGTGTAGGATGGATAATGACTTCGCCATCAATTATTCCAACTCGTACCGACCCAACTGGCCCCAACCATGGAATATCCGATACTGCTAGGGCCGCCGAGGCTGACACAAAATGTACAAAAAAAAATTTATTTTAGCAAATTACATTTTTCTTCTGCATATTCATAAAGCTTTAGTGAAATTACATTATCTAAAATAAACTGGTTGTATTTAACCACAAAGGGTAATTCCTTAATAAACATTAACTTAAGTTTTGAGGTCCTGTTCCCTCTAGTGTTTTAAGGACAGATACAGGTAGACTCCTATACAGTTAATTTTAGTTAGTGACCATATTTTATATGGTAAAGAATCTACAAGATTACTTGAAACATTTAAAGACTTTAAAATCTGGTTTGGTTAACAGGTTACTCAAGCAATTGCCACTTGCTTGTGGTAAGAATGAAAGTTGCCTGAGCAAGTACCCACATGCAGTTCTTCACATGTGTAAGTAAACCAAATGGGGTGGGAATATGTACTGTATACAGTACAGTATTAGGGTAGATGTATAGTGGACACAGATACAGTACTTCATTCTACAATACCTGCATTGATGCTGACAACATCAGGGTCATGAAGACCATCTACTGCCAAGAGCTGACATGAAAGCTGCGTGTCACCACAGAAACCATCAGGAAACAATGGACGAACTGAGCGATCTGTTGAATTATGGAAAATTTTTGTTCATTGTTTAATATCTTATTAGTAACACAATTAGAGCACATAAACTTTTTATGAGTAACTGCAATTTCACTGAATGACTGCAACTTCATCCCTGATTTGTAAATACAGGGTAGTTACTGAAAAGCAATTTTTCTGAACATATCTTATTTACATTCAAAGTGACTGCCATCCTCACAAATTAACAGTGGAATAATGTTTTTCAGTTATCACTATATATATATATATGCAAGTAAATCACTGTAGGTGCGCGTGATCTAGGTATATGCTGATAACCACAAGGAAAGAAGAAAACACGAAGTTCCCAAGCGCTTTCATGTAATTCACATCTTCAGGGGTGAGTACAGACTAAAGAGAAGTACTAAACAAGGTGTATATATACAGAGGAGGGTGAGACCAGGTCCACAATGGTCAGGTACTAGGTAATGACCCCACTAATCTTTAAATATAAATAACTTACAAACAGACAACCTAAACTAACCTAAGTTAGGATGGCTCGTGTAGATTGATACACAGTTAAGTGGTCCTGTTCTTTTTCCTTTTTTCACATTGGTTAGCCTGTTTGTAAGTTATTTTAAAAAATTACCAATATGCATGCTGGTAATTTTGCAAGATAACTGATTTTGCTAAAAAGGTAACATGTACAAGCACTGTACTGTAAATAGCATACACAGTACAATCATTATTACTGTATCATTAAATATTAATGTTTTGAAGCCTGGAATACAAATGAGAAATTCTAAAGTATTGTACAGTACTGTATATGGTTTATAATTCATTTTATCAAAGGAATCTTCTAAATTATATGAAGAGCATTCATTTTCCTGTCACTATCAATTACTTTCACCAAGAATATTTTCTGAAAAATATTTGTTGCACTAAGCAACAGCTATCAATAAAACAATTAACTTACCAATAATCCTGCTAGTTAGGATTTCTTTTTCAGTTGGTGCAAGCTCCCTGCGAAGATAATTGGAAGGAATGCGTCCTGCAGCAGCATATTTTTGACGATAGTCTACTGTGAGAGGCATAAATCCTGGGGAGGGACCAGTGCGGCCTTTGCTCACAGCAGTAATAAGGACTGAGGTATCACCTATGGTAGCCACAGCAGCACCATCTGCTAAGCGAGCATACTCTCCAGTTTCAAGGTGTATTGTCCGCCTGTAAAAATGTAAATACAGGGTATCGGTATATTAACAGATATTTTTTCATACACACAACAAGCCTTTTCCTGTTATCATGCTAGGAGACAAGAGATGATGACTTAATGTTTAATACATTCAGTGCCTCATGGGTTACCCCATCCTTTGGCAAGATACTATTTCACCGCCAGTAAGCGCACCATATTGTGCAGACATTTTGTCAATAAGTGCGTGATGGATACAAAAAAAGAAAGAAACCAAATTTTACATTCAAGGCAAATGCTCTGCTGCTAAAGAAATACCAATAATGGTGTTTATTATAAGTGTGTTTTTTTTGTACTATAATAAATTTCATAAGAAAATTGCATAAACTGCTGTATACTGTACACAGCCAGTTTTCTACTCAATAGATATTTACTGTCATGTTGCTTTTCTGCGACAACAAATTAAGGAATACATTTCTGGCAAAAAGGCAATATTAATTTCTATTTTCTTTTTACATAAAATAATTTATACATACCTAACAATAAATACCAAGTAGTTGATCTTATGTAACATCATTTCCCATCATAACTTGCAATATGCTGATGGATTGAGATGAAGAAATCTTTGGGTGTGTGAGGGAATGAGCCATGGGTGTGGGAGGAAAAGAGCAGCAGCAGGTGTGTGTGTGTGAGAAAGATTGAAAGGTGGTGTGTGATGGAGGGAACAAGTAAAATAATATATTTTCTGAAATTCAAAGTTGGGTGCAAATAACCAATAAATTTCTGAAGCAAAAGATTGTAGCCCTGTTCTTCCAAAATCCATTCAAACAAAACTATCAGCCATAATGTATTGCAAAATTCTGAAAAAAAACAAGGAATATAACACTAGAATGAATAATATCAAGATCAGTACTACTGTAGTTCATCCTTTGGAATTTCACTTTACCATACCTTAGATAAAGCACCGGTATATACTGTAACAACTATCAATATCCCTACAAAACATCACTGAGGAGAACTTGAAAAAAAAATTATATTTCCTTCTACAGTATTCTAATATGTACAATGATTTAAACTTTTGTGCAATCGTTTAGCAGTTGACTCATGAATCTGTGAAGCATGTATTGTTCAGTTGGTTCAGTTCACAGTGGTATGGTTTGTTATTGATTGCATCCAATGTACTCTAATAAATAAATTGTGTACCTTGGTTGTGATCAGTGCATAAGTCGGATACTGTATTGTAAAATTGCTATGTACAGTACTTGTTATATTGACCCAATAAAGATTTAACTGTTTAGTCTACATTATTATTATTATTTCCTAGTTGGTAACTGTATTGACTTTGTGACATGAGACTGAGACTATGTTTAGTCAGTCAAGGTTGAAAACTCAAGTCTGAAGGATGTGGAATTGTTCAAGGCAGTATAGTTGGTTCTTCCCTCCATAGCAGGTAAGTCTGTGTTATTTCCAAGGAAAGGTTTTATCTATAAAATATTATTTAGTCATTAGGTTAGTCTTTCTTGTCTAGGTGTTGGGTAACAGTATCAAATCTTTATTTTCAATAAAAATCAATAGGAGATATTATTAAAACAATGAAAAACACATTAAACAAACAATATCCTTAAGGGCCTTGGCTTGCAGATACTGCATGTGGCAATACTGTAGTACTATTATGTACTTAATTAACTTTAATAATGCTAATAATTGAAACAAGATCCAATTTAATTAGAAATTTGGAAGGGATATCAAGTTACTGTAAATTTAATTTGTTGGGACATACCCTAGGGTCGTAAGAATATCAAATGGATGATGTCTCGGTCATTTGCTGGAGGAGTATAGGAGGCCCCAGCAAATAAAAACAAGCAATCATTATGTTTAAGTTCAGCAAAAACTGCATTATTTATGAACAAAGGTCCAAGTCATCCAACTATGGTGCTTAATGAAAAATATCTACAGTATAAGGAAAACCTATTTCTTACTTCATGTTTTTGGTAGAGGAGGAGGAGGAGACCATTATCACCAGAAATAACTTATGGATTTGAACCAAAATTTCTGGACATACTATTTGCATGAAACAACACGAAAATGAGAATGCACAGAATCTACTAGAACCTGACCTAACCTAACCTTACCTTACCTGCCTAACTTCCTAACCTGTGCATTGTTGTATCGATTGTCTTACTATCATCCAAATAACATATCTGGAAAAACAAACAAATTCAATCCAATATATATTACAATAAATATGCTTGATGAGATCATCATTTGTTTCTTGATATGTAATCAAAGTCCTTTGACGCTACCGCATAGCAGACGATCTGAACCAAAACATGGTCGCTACAGGAGATATGACGGCGCCATAATTATGGTAAATATTTCATTTCTTCACCTACAAAGGAGACATGAAATTATTACCATATGATCAGTGTTTTACACCGTTATTTCCCTCTTCTTTTATGCCCTGCCCTCTTAACAAGTAATTTATGATCAAAGGATGTTGCTTCAATTTTATTACTCAATATCATCCAAAAACATCTTGTGAAAATTTGGTGCAATTCCATAAGGTCGTTCTGGTGGTAATGGTCTCCTCCACCAGTTTTCCCATACATAAAGATGCTGCCACCCATCTGTTCCACAACACTGCTGTTTGTATATCACTGTTGACAAAAGCTTCGCAATGATCAACCAACCCCTTATGCTAAATGACAGAAATATTTCCAGACAACAACAACCAATATTCCTTCCTTTCCATTTACACCTACCTAACCAAAAATAACAATATTAATATAGCTACTGTACTTACACCCAAGGAGAGGTAAGTTAGGTAGCTTTTGTTGGTTTATTTTATTCACAATAAATGATAATACAATGCTTGGTTGGGTTAGTTTTTGTCTGAATAGGTCTGGTTTAAACAGGTGTCATGGGAGAATTGTAGGCAGAATATTTACGTTAAATAATTTTTGTTGCGTACAAAGCACACAGAGACATGAAATGATTGCCATATGATCAGTTTTTTGCTGCATTTTACCTCGAAATTTCCCTCATCTTTCATGTCCTGCCCACAACAGGTGATTAATGATCATTTATAGATAGAGGAAAACTATATATATAATTTTTTTTTAAGACTTAAAATTAAAGGGAAAAGTTGTGGTATCATTTTTATTGGAGATACCTTTCATGGTGCTGAAGGACGAACGTGACTCTTTTACAGAAGTATTTCAAATGGCTCATCTGCACACACCACACTTGGAGGAATGATCTTTATTATGTCATTGCCTAAACTAACCAATAAATGAGCAGATAAGACAAAAAGATGCCAGATTTAACTATATTTCTGGTGATACACCCCATTTTGTCACCTATAACAAATCCATTTCGTCACCACTAACAGTTGCTGTTATTAGTGACAAATTGTAAGTTATTATTTTACACGAATAGAAATTACACATTTATACAGATGACTCGAGGAGTATTGTTATTATTACTATACATGAATATTAATTACTTAATAAAGAAAACGAATCAACATTGGTAAATAAACAAAATACAGTACTGTACAGAACAAATGAAGGTGATGTGTCACCAGCGTATAAACCACCGATATGGGCAGGCCCCAATTTTAGGGTTACAATTCAAATCACGCATGTGTGGGTGGACATGAGTAAAGTATAACACTATGCATGCAGTAAGACGTGCACTCATTCAACACATTATCACATAATTAATTATAAAAAATTTCTAATTTTTATGAGCACTTTCTCAACTAAATTATGCTATTAATTATCTTAAAAGGAACAGATTATTATATAAATTCATAGAGCTAAGGAGCTCGAAAGTAGAAAGTAGCTTGTGCAAAAAAAATTTACACCGACATCTTATTTCATATTTTTTAAAAAAACATTAATACGTTATTAATATAACATTTTCAATGACTATAATGGTACCAAATACTTGTGGAATAGCTAAGTGAGGAATAAGTGCAACAAAAACTTCTTGTGAATACGTGTGAATGCAGTATGTGCATTGCGGCTTTCGCACTTAAGCAGCAAAACTGCCGCACTTCATGGGTTAATATTGGTGATTCTGGAACAGATGGCTAACACTAGAATGTGTTGTTCGATTTCGTTAAATTTTCCCACAGATGTTCTTTGGATGATAGTAAGTAATAAAAACAATACAACAATGCACAGATGATAACACGGGCCGACAACGGCAGATACCATCTAACCTAACCTAATGTTTGGGGGTAAATATATTAAAAACTAAGCATTTGCACAAGAAATGCAATGATTCATAATTGAAAAAAATAACAGGTATTGTTAGTATTTCCCCCCAGTAAACAGATCGCTGAACCACCATTTACACAGTAGAGTAAATCTGTGTTTCAGGACAAATATATTGAAAACGAAACACTCGCAAAAGTCGCTATTCTTATGGGGGAAAAACTAATATTAACCAAATAACATATTTAGGGTAGTCAGAAATACAAGAAGAGAAAATGATCCAAAACAAATATTAACCCTTTCTATCATCCAAAGAACACTGTAGAAAAATGAAAGAAATTGAACACTATAAAACCATATTACCGTAATTTCCATAGTTGTCCTTAACAGAATCTTTACTGTGATTTACGTGCAGTACTAATTGCATGTGTTAGCTCAGTGTTTCTATTATATTATGACTAAAAATAATACGTATTTCCATGAGCATGAATAACAGGTTCCTGGTCAACAAAACACCACCCTCAATAACCAACAACAAATAAATAATTACCCAAATAAATAACATCATAAAAGACTAAAAACACTGTAAAGTAGTTCAAGATGAATTAATCCTTGTCTAATATATTCTAGCACATTAAATCATCAACTTCACAGCTCACCCATTTGAAAACTCCACACGGCTTTCAACTTTATCACCAAGACACGCTGTAGTGGACACATATCTGTTAACTCGTAAATATTTTAACCTCTTTAAAGACTTGTCAATTGGTCTGTATAACTTATGCATCCTGTTATCAATTGACTTTTATAAATAAACTAATTTACATTGAGTGTCAGTCATGTGCGGCTCCCACTGTTTACCTGTGACGTCACTATATATAACCAAGAGAGGAAAGATGCCTAACTAGCAATTTTAATTTTATCTCAATAACGCCGCAATATTACCGCCACTATTAGTAAAATAAAACTATTTTTATTACACTGAACAAAACTATTCCCACTTTACTAAATAAAGAAAATAATGACGTGACAGCAAGAGAAGAGGGTTTGAATTTTATATTATTATTCATAAGATGCTGTACTGCTGAGATGCTCCGTCAGCCTCGGATAGTCTAAGCGCTTTTTACTTTTACTTGATTAAAATAAGTGAAAAAAGAGCAAAAAAGATAGCTTATTAACGAGTAGGCAGAGTAAATATAGGAAACTAATGAGGTGGCATTGTAAAGGCAAGTTTGCATCTCCGACATCACATCAACTACTAGGTGAATGTTGTCTCACGTACACGACCAGTGAAATAGTTTAACATAAATATATTGGTAATATAAACTTATTTTAACTTTAAAAAATCTATGGTAGTTTTTTAAGTCAAGTTTATTTGGTTGTCATTGTTCAATTTAAATTAGGAACAGTAATAAATGTTTTTTGTTTTTATTCGTATTTTACATGTAACATTGTTCTGTGGTAGGAATAAGTTACATTTTCTATGAATCATATTGAAGGATCCGTAACGTGCTCACATCTGGCAGATTTTATGACAAACTCAATATTTTTTTTCCAAGTTGATGGTATGTATATATTGACTTCACATTTAACTTTATATTTTACTACCAAAGTTATTTAAAATATTTTAATTCAAATATAATTGATGATGGGTTTCAAGTTAGATAAGTTGATTGATATTGTACTGTAGTGGATTTCTCCCCTACAAACGCTGTTTGTCACTAAGTAGCCGACCCCGCGAATTCCCCAGTGTATGCCTCGTGGTCTGGGTCAACCAGCGCCGCCATACATCACGGAGGTCAACTACTAAGCCACGCCTACCTCCGCTATTTAAGACCTGACCTCGTGGTGCCCTTTCTTCTTCTAGCTACAGCCGCAGCAAGCAACACCACCTCCTCCGCCGCTGCCTGGCGGCCCTCGCTCCTGCCGGCGAGCTTGGCGACCCACAAGCTGGTCCTCCTCTGAGCACCCTCACCAACCAGCTCTCTCTACATCACGCTTGTAACCACGCTGCCACTTCCCAGCACCAAGCTGCATTGTACATCCAATACAATATGTATACAGTGAGCACATTGTGAGTTTCCTTTCTCCATCCCATCCTGAGTGTGAACCCAAACATCCCATACCCCTCCAATGGTGACTCCCGGAGATTCGCACTCACACAGGATGGAGGAGAAACAGATCACGCTCCCAGTCTTTAAGCAACATGGAAGACTGGCTTATCCACCCAAAAGCAGCTCTCATCGGCTCTACAGCTACTGTCTCTACACCACAGGTTAGATACCCTAGAGTAGCACTGCTTCTCTAAGCAGACACCAGCTCCTCTTCCTGCCCCAAGCACCACGTCCTACCGACCCCAGCACACCCGTCCTGCCTCAGACGCCGCCCCCGGCCCCGGCTGTGTTTGGCTTTTGCCCTACTGTTCTTGTTCAACCCTACAAAAGAAAAAGAACCTGCTATATTTCAGGCACTTTTTAGGGTAGGAATCTGAAATTTGGACACAATGACCAATTTCTTTGGCTTTTGTCTTTCACTGGCGTTTGACTCCCACCGTACACGAGGGGCATTTGAACTTACTATTATTTGTTTCTTTTGTTTTTATCATTTGAAGTTACTGACAATACAGTATAAGAATAAATGATTTTTTTTATAACTCATTATGAAATATTTGGCCTGAATTAAATGTACTTAAGTTAGCTTATTCGTGGGGTCATTGTAAGTGTACATGCGTAAATGAAACTTGCAGCGCTCTGACATGAAGAGCCGTCCATGCAGCCCACTCATTAGCCTATATTACCGCGGTTGAGGGACTCTTGCCAGACAACACGGAAGTTTGTATGTCATGACGGTGTAATAACTGGGCCCAGCCGTAACAATGGCTACACTGACCAATATAACCGCATGCAACATCAGAGAAGTAGAGTCACCATCACCCGCGTAACTATTACCTTTCACTGCACGATAGTAAGAGGATGAAGAACCAATTATCTGTACCTATAATACAACATATGTTCTTCTGGTGTGTAAACCACATTTGTCAACAACACTTCGGAGACTCGCAACTCAACTCAGATTTTGAGGAATTCGTACGTTGTTTTTCTCTCTAACTAAGGATAAGAGAAATTATTTGGTTACAGTGGAAGTTCAATAAACTTTCGACCCATTTTGGCCGCCATCTCAAAGTAATACCTTAAGTGTTCTCACGTATTCATTTAGGAGGAACACGTGATATACGAAACTCGGGGAATTCAGGAGATTCGTTACTTGTGTCTTGGTGTTGAGATTAAATGACTAATGAATATATGAGGATCCGAAATGACACAAAAACTTAGATAAGAATGTTTACCTCGAGCTTTGATAACGAGTAGTGTTCACGGATAGCTGATTGATTTTCTCTGCCAGCGGGTACAAGACTGCACCATGTGTGAGGAGAGTGCCCGGGTGGTGGTTATCGCAGTGGTTGAGGTATAAGCCTTCCTGAAACGCTGTAACCAAACTCTAGGGACTTTACCAAACTGGATTGTGCTTATTCCTTGTTGTGCCACCCTGCCACTCAATTCATTTTTACACGAACTGATAAATAACGAGTCGTGAAATGTTTTAAATCAGTGTCTCTTAGGTAGTGGGACGGTGAAGGTCCTTTAGGCGAAGTTGTGAATTTTTTAATGTTCTTAAAAATTTGCATCAATGTAACACCAAAATGTACCTACGCATAAAAATGATATATTATCTCAAAAAGTGTCGTTTTCTGTTTTGCCATTGTGGGACCAGACTATTTTCGTTTACAATGGGAACTAATAAGATTGATAAAAACCGTCTTCAATAAAACCATAAAGGACTTGTTGTTGATTGAAAAATATTAGATAATTAGTAATTTAATAAAACTATCCTATGAACATTATGAACATTTAACAATAACCGCAGATACAATTTCCGCTCTAATCTGCGCTGCCTTGAGTGTGTGTGTGTGTATAGTGAAGGGGTTCAGTGCGTTAAGCGGCCTCATACACACTGGTACTAATAATTCATACTAAGGAGAGAAACTCCCTTCTCTCTCACATCTGCTATGCGTATATTCATTATATTAAAAGTGACGAAACATACACTAATAATCAGCGCACTAAAACATTACATCAGTTATGGCAATGATGAAACTAACCATTATAAACTAAACAAATATAATGATAAGTTGTTTTCAGATAATGCCAATAATTATCATATCAACTGGCGGGAAAATCTTGAACTAATAAGCAAATATTAAAATACATTATACATATACGTGATAGATATAGGGAATTTAATACTTGAATATTTTTTTTAATAAACGTCCATAAAAGTCTTGTTTACATTTATTATAAGACAGATAAAAAAAAAAGAGTTATTTATCTCTACCATGATGCGTCGAAGAGGAACCATACATGTCATCTATGTACACAAACCATTACGTAGATGACTGGCGGAAGTATAGTGTCGACATTACAAACATCCGGACCTACAAGACCCACAGAGTTGTATAGAGTCATGCTGGGGGAAAAATACACAAAAATAAGGTATACCATTGTTGATAGTAGTATTTATACATATTCTAATTTACCCACACCCAGAGTATAGTTAACTAAGGTAAATATTATCTGTTAAATTACACTACACAAAAAGACACTTATAAAAAGAGAGAAACCTGTTGTATACTGTCTGTTATTACATGTTAAAGTAAACCGTCTTGTACAAACAGTTGCCTTATCAAACAAAATATCAATCATATACGCAAAACTGCTGAGTAATGACGTCAACATTTTGGGGGGAGGGTTTGTGAGGTAGTTTGGGGGGTTTATGAGGTGATTGACGGTTTGTGAGGTGGTCGTGGGGGTTTGTGAGGTGGTCGTGGGGTTTGTAAGGTGATCGTTGGGGTTTGTGAGGTGGTCGTGGGGTTTATGAGGTGATCGTGGGGGTTGTGAGGTTATCATTGGGGTTTGTGGGGAATTGGTCGTGGGGGTTTGAAGGTGATCGTGGGGTTTGTGGGGGTGATCAATGGGGGTTGTGAGAGTGATCGTGGGGTTTGTGAGAATTGGTCGTGAGGGGTTTGTGGTGGTCATTGGGGTTTGTGAATTGGTCGTGGGGGTTTTGTGCAGAGGTGGTCGTGGGTTTGTGAGGTGATCGTGGGGTTTGTGAGGTGATCATGGGGGTTAGGGGACGGTCAATCAAGAGAGTGTAGGGCACTTGGTGGTGGGGTTCCCGACTCAAACTTTCACCCCCGTGTGACGTAACAACCTTCACTCAGCGGAACTACCTGATAGGCTTAATTTCATTCAGTGGAGCGTTTGTGTTGGTACCTGGAAGGTCAGAAAGGAGCAGGAAGGGGAGGGGGGGGAATGGTTAAGAAGAGAGGAAAGAGAATGAGGAGGGGGGAGTAGGAAGGAAGAGGAGGAGAAAAGAGGAAGAGGAAAAGGAGGAGGAGAATGAGAAGGATGGAAAAGTAGGAAGGAAGAGGAAGAGGAGAAGTAGAAGAAGGAAGAGAGAGAGAGAGGGGGAAGAATGCACGTATGTACCCAAGCAGGATCACCCACATACCTGACCCCATTATAGAGGAAATAACTAACTCATATCTCAGAATAATGGAGCCTGTTTATCCTGACCTTCATCATTATCATCACCACCACCATCATTATCATCACCATCACCATCATCATCATCATCACCATCACCACCACCACCATCATTATCATCACCATCATTATCATCACCACCATCATCATTATCATCACCATCACCACCACCATCATTATCATCACCATCACCACCATCATCACCACCATCACCATCATCATTATCATCACCATCACCAATCAGGAGTAATATTATAAT